CGTTCTGCTCCTCCTCCTCCATGTTCTTCTTTTTCTTCTTCCTCCACGTTTTACATCATAGATCGAAATCTCTTTCTTCTCCTTAGATCGAAATCCCCAATCATCGATGAAGATTGTGATTCTTCTTCTCCATTAAACTCTACACAATCGTCACCTATCTTTGTTCATACTAATTTCGCAATTACGTTGTTCTTAACTCTTTGCCATAGATCGTAATCATGAATTAAGATGGTATTCGATGGAGATCGACATAGTTGACTATAATCGAAAATCATAATAGGTATTTATTGTTCGAAAATAGTTAACTACTTAGCTGCCTATGGTTCGGAAATAGTTAACTATTTAATTTGCTCGCTATAGTTAAAAAATAGCGAACTATGGAGCAACGTCACTATGATCACTATGGTTTCAAAATATTTAACTATTTGCTGCCTATGGTCCGAAAATAGTTAACAATTAACTATTTACTGGTTATGGTTCGAAAATAGTTAAGTATTTACTGCCATTATTCGAAAATAATGAACTTTGGTGCGACATCACTATGGTTCTAAAATAGTTAACTATTTGCTGCCTATGGTTTGAAAATAGTTAACTATTACTGGCCATGGTCCGAAAATAGTGAACTATGAAGTAACATCATTATGATAATAAAATAGTTAACTATTTGTTGGCTCGGTAGTTACAACATCATGTTGAGTTACAACATCTGGTAGTAAAAACACCTATGATTGATGAACAAGATATGTAGTGTATTAAAAGGAAGAAATCTTCTAGGGATTTTTTTCCCTAATATATTTCTTATCCGATTACTTTTTTTATTTAATTTTCTTTGAAATTCCTTAGCAAATTTAATAGGGGCAATTTCGTCCGAAAGTCTTACCTCTTTACTAATCACCTAATTTTTTTTAACTCTACGTTACTCTCCTAATTATGTCCCTAAAAAATAATACTAAGCTAATTCACCCTTCTTTTTTTGGTACCATGTAAAAATATTATTCCAAATTAAATATGTTATTGTATTTTAAACGATTTGGAAAATATATATTTATTTATTGAACCAAACAATATGCTACACCAACAGATTTGTTCAATTATTAAATTAAAACCCAACAATATACTATACCAAAAAAACTTAATAATACATTAAAAAACAATTAGTGCAATTAAAAAAATTTCTACTAGAGAAAGTATTAACCAAGATTTTTAAAAGAAACACCTACTCCACCACAAATTGTGAATCCATAAAACTCTTTTTTATTTTTATTATTCCTTCCACACTGTAATCACGACGAGAAAAACATAATACAATTCACCAATGAGTCGATGTGAAAGATAAAAATCACATCAAAACGATCAAAAGAGAGACAAAAATACAATGAAGCAATAATTATTCTCTTTTTACGATTCATAGTTCTAATGAAATAAACATAGAGATAAGTTCCAACATCTCTGTTGAGATGATGTGAAGCAATAATTATTCTCTTTTTACGATTCAAAGGTCTAATGAAATAAACATAGAGATAAGTTTCAACATCTCTGTTGAGATGATGCATATGTTATGGTAGAGCCGCCAAGCGTACTACAACTTATCGGATCAATAATTTTTTTTACGAACGTGTTTGATGCAAGAAAAAAGAAGACCAAACATATTTTTCTTAATTTTACTTTACTTGAGAAATTTCAAAAAATGCCATTTTTCGAGTGCCACTTTACAAAAATGCCACACTTTTGAAATCTTTACAAAAATACCACTTTTTCAAAATTATTTTTTTTATATTATTTGTGTTTGGGTTAATTATGTTTTATTAAGGTTTAGTTATGAGGGTTTAGGAAGGTTTAGGGGTCAAAACATTT